ATTTTAGGGTGAAAGGGTTGTATTATCCTCAAGTTAAGATGACAGATGTCCTCTTATTGATCATGCTTGTACTATAAAGACGTTGTTTTACTTGTGTACTATTGTTGTGTGGCACTGTACCTTTTATTTGAGTTACAGTATATTTGCTTCATAATATGAATATTGTTTTTCAGTTTTCTTGTTCTCAATGAAAAGGTATCCCTTAAATAACACGTTTTTTCTTTTTTCTTTTTTGTCAGTGACTGTAAAACCAAGACTTGCCAAATCTTAGCAAAACAACGTTGTATACCATGTGGTACATTGTGTAGACTCTGATACTTTGCATATGAAAGGTGTTTCGCAGTGAAGACTATGTAAGGCAGTTTCACATAGCGTTTCTTTGCAGAATCTCCCCTACAGTGGGGGGCTACTATCTTCAGTTGAAAACTAAATAGAGAAAATCAATTGGTACCAAAAGCCAGTTTTGATAAGAGTCCAGCCCAACTGTGTAATGTCAATAAAGCATTGTTGTCCTAAAGAAGTTTGGCCCTCATCAGGAACATTTAAATACTGCTGAATTTCATTAAAGTCTATATCCGACCTTCTGAAGGTAGAGCCACACTGTCGAGAGCCGCCCTGCGCTTTTTTTTTATCTAAGTGAAAAGGTCAGATGATTAATCTCCAAGGTGTGAACAGGATGAAACTCTGAAGGACAAAGCTATCACAGAGGCCCAGATGAGAAAAGGTTTCTTTGAAAGTCTCAAATCAGCCCAGACCTGGAAGGTGTTGAAATGGCTGCACTCTCCTTCCCCTCTCACTACTGGATTGAATGAGAGTGGTCCTTTGAACCGCATACGGTTCCCTACTGCTGAACCAAGATCATATATCACGCTATCTCAGTGAGCTTTTTGAAAATGCTACCAGCAGCCAACTTTTTTATGTTCCATGTGGCTCATTTTAAAACCAGAATCTTAACTAACTACTAACTACTACTACTACTACTACTACTACTACTACTACTACTACCATAGTTAAGATTCTGATTGTCTTATCCAAATGTCAAGGGGTTCCAAAATATGCATTTGATGGCCTACATGCATCATATTGAAGAAGGACTCAATTCAAGTGAGATTATTATCTACCAGTTATTAGAAGAACTGCATCTTTAGATACTTAGACACTGGTTTCAACTTTTTATTGTGGGGGTTGTTGACAGGTGTAAGAGCTCTACACCCCCTTATTGGCCGGGGAGGAATGGGTAAATAGTGCTCAGCTAAAAGGTGAAGGCTAACAGGAAGCCACTTGGAAGACATAGGTAAATGGAATAAAAGCTTTAACCTAATTGAGCTCTTTTCCTGATCTCCTTTATATGCCCCAGGGTCAGGTGATGCTTCACTTTCTCCTATACACAAACTCCACTTAACAAGACCTTCTGTATTTTTAATGAGACACTAGTGGTGAGTAGGTGTCAGGTCAGGCTGACAGCAGCTGCCCACGACCAGCTTTAATCCTCTGCATAGGTCCACTGCCCACATATTCTTTTTCTTCCACTTTTCTCCCAACACCCCATGTGTGAGGGCCAGATAAGATCACTTGAGATATAACTTTGATAATTCCAAAAGGAAATTATTTTTGCCAGACAAATAATACAACAACTTGACAATAAAAAAACACAAATGCTGAGGTTATATCCTGGATTGCACCGGTTCGTTATCTTGATGAATTCCTTTGCATCTGCTAATAAAATTATTGATTTAACTTACATCTCAATCTTTTAAGTTACTTGATACATTTTGTCTTATTGCTTGTTCTTTATAGTGCTTGTAAGTTTAATTCTTAAAGATTTTAGAGCCCATACTGCTCATTATCAAATGTAGGTATTTAAAATGTACTTAAAGGTGGGGTAGGTAATTTTGGAGAAACCAGCTCGAGATCGCTAGAATTTGAAAATACACAGCCGGAAAAAATCTGCCACTTCCTTACAGAGCCCCTCCTCCAACACACACGAACGCGCACATGACCAATGAGGGCACGAGATAAGTCTGTGCACAGATGGAAGGCTGACAGGCAGGTAGGCCATCCGTGCTTTTTACAGTATTACGGCTTCCACAGATGACATTTTTTTATGGATTTTTCATTGCTATCGGGATGTTAAGAGCATTCCATGGAATATAACAAAAAGTGTATCTCGAGCCGGTTTCTCAAACTTACCGACCCCACCTTTAACTTTGCAAATATCTCTTTGTATCGTTAGGTTTTCATGACTGAATAACAACCAATCAAAATACACATTGATGTATTATTTATTGAGAGTTTCACATAAAAAAGCATATTTTCAGCTTGATCAAGACAAATTGTATTCACACATTTTGACATCAAAACAGTGAAAAGACTTCAGAGAAAACAAGAAATACAGTACATCTGAAAGGAAATGAGTAAAAGGTTGGCAGAAAAGTGTGTACCTAAAGGACGCCAACAGTCAAGACAAAATGGTTTTCTGGGTCTTTTATAAACCTCTAGAGTTCTCCTAAATGTAACATCATATTTCAGTCACATATGAATATGTATGTACAGTATTAGTAGGAATCATGGTATGAGGACAGTGCCCACTTGATACGATAACCAACAGCCTTTATCTACAGTAGAACTACTTATGCAGATTCATCATCAAGCTCTTTGAAGGCAGGACTTTGTTTGAATGTAATTAAATCCATTATGGAGCCTTCTCATGAAATCTGTATCTCTTCATCCCAAAACAAGTTTATATAATTAGTTTGTACATAATTTAGCAGACAAATGAAACATAAAAATGCAAGGCTGTTTGCTGACATTTACGTGATTTGCATCGGTGAGTGTTTGCTCACCGCACTCATCCACCTCCAGCTCACAGGACTGTGGTACAGTTGCTCATGCAATGGTGATGGTTGGCAGTGCATGGGGCCAAGAGTTTTTGAACGCCTGTGTTGATTTCCCATGTTGGCAAGCCTACTCGGAAGTGCAAGCTGGGGATATGAGTGCACATTGTCATCAGGGAGGAGGAGGGAATCGGTAAGAGGATTTATAATATGCGAGGATTAGCGAACGCAGTTATTCAGTTCTCTTGGAGACACAAAATAGTAACAAGAAACTTTACTTGTTGTGAATAGCAATATAAAAATAAATGAACATGACTAAGCCTTTTTTTTAGATTAATTTGTCGCCCCCAATGACTCAAAAGTACCCGTTCAGTGGGTATAGTCATTGAGCTTGCATAATCTTAACCTTATACTCAAACATCCCGAATCAGACGAGATGTCAGGCAGCTGAGTACTTTGATATATCTGGAAAGCCTAATAACAAACATTAAATGGTAACATTTAGTCTTTATATTGCCTTAATGTAAGCTTCTCTGAGGTAATGTAGACGTAGAGCTGCAGTAATTCATCTTTTAATTGACAGACAGAAACACTGTGAGCTTTTGTTTGTATAATTGATTAATCGCCGAGTAGTTTTAAATGGAAGAATCTGGGTTTTGGGCTGACAAAACAAAACATTTAAAAACATTGCCTTGGACTTTGAGAAACTGGGATTGAAATATTTCACAAGTTTTTACATTTGTTGATCTCAAATAATTGGTAAATGTAATGACAAAGAAATAAATACGAGTTGTTAGTTCCTGGTTTTCTATGGGTTGTCATTTTTGATTACCAGATTCTTTTGAAATAATAAATCAAATAAATCATAAAAATATGTTATAGTATTAGTTATATTATAGTTAATACGTCCATTGCTTTGTTTGAAAATATCTTTGTTTTTACATCTTTGATCATTAAAAGATCACCTTTAGGGCCAAATTGGAGATATTTTCAAACAAGGCAATGGTTTTAGGAACTATAATATAACTATTACTATAAAATATATTTTTATGTTTTATTTGATTCATTATTTCAACAAGATCTTAAATTCAGATAGCAAGTGTAGTTAAGCTAAAAGGAGGATTATATCAAGTATTTTGTTAGAATTGTTAAGGAGTCCGGCTTTGGCATTTTGAATAAACTTGAGTCTGGAAAGATCTGCTGTGTGTGACACCTGCTGGAAATAGTTATTTTTTTCGAAGCAATTATTGGGACTTTGAACAGATGTGATCACGATGCAAAACATTTTAATTGAATCACAGGCTTTGTATTAAGATCCGTATCAAATTGGTTTCTGAAGGAGAGATAACATGCTCTTATGCCAGCTTACACAAGGGACTTGTTTGTCACAGTATCACAGCTTTCCTCTGTAACCATTGCAACAGCTTCTCTGTACATACTCGCAGTAGCCTATTAACCTCAAGGATATAAGATGGCAGATTTAAATATGGATTTACTTGTTGATATTGATAAACTGCCTCATTTTAACACGGTGCATTTGAGACTTACAAAAGTACATTTCGAACAAATCTAAAATACTGTTGGACATCACGTATTATGTGCTCTTGGAAAACCCTCACCCTAAACTCCAGGAGATATTTAAGAAAATAACACAAACGGACATAAGCATAGAATTCAGAATTATAATATATTAAGATGAATCCTATAATCATAATATTATGGCAATTAAATGTTGAATGCTGAAAAGGTTTAGACCACAATGATCATCCATAAGTACAGTTAAATGTATGTATACAAAATGATCAATGATATATCACTTTTTGCATTTAATAACAAATGATTTTGTCTAACCCACTTGTTACAGACTGTTTCCTGCCTTATATCCAAAAGAAGATTAATGACATTTATATTTCTCTAGAATTGGCATCAAAGAGGGCGAACCTTAATATCTATGCCATTGTGCCACCCTAATTTGAATGATAAATGAATGAATCTGAGAATAATTCTGCTTTAATTATAAAGCCTAAAAGCCTTAATAGGTGTAGGCCTATCTATCCCTGTCATCCTCTTTCTCTGTCTCTCCTTCTGTTGGTCTCTGTCTTTGCTCTGTTGCCATGGCACCTCAGCGTCTCACCTCTTCAATCTGTTTTTGTGTTCCCATTAAAGGCTCCGTCACCTGAACCTGAAGCAGAGCTGACAACAACAGCAGTAGCAGCAGAAGTAGTAGCAGCAGCAGAAACAGTAGCAGCAGCAGAACCTGAACCTGAACCAGAACCAGAACCTCAACCTGAACCAGAACCTGAACCAGAACCACAAGATGAAGTCTTTGGTAAGAGGATCAAACACATCTTTCATTTCAATACATAACCCAACTCTCTACTCTTAGACCCTGTTTACACGGAAACAAAAACGAACAGAATTCGATATCAAAAAAGTCTTCCGTCCACACGCAATCGGGTCAATAAACGTGTCCGTTCACACGAGACCGCTCGACCCGCTGGAGACGCTGTAGTACATATGCCGGGCCTGTAAGTGGCGCTGTACTTCCGCCTCAAAATACACCAAAAGCAGCGAAGAAGACCTCCCGCGCATGGTTGCCATGGTTGCCTGGTTGCCCTTCTGTTTATTCTCCGCGGTGGATTTAGCAACATGTAGTTCATGTAGTTCTCCATGTCCACTTGTTGCTGATGGTTGTGGTAGAGGAGCTGTAGATTTGAAGCGGGGGTGAGCAGCAGAGGTGGGGAGAGGCAGGGCTCTGGCTGTTTCGGCGGCCTCTGTTTCTCGCGTGTGCTCCTGCTTTAAAAGGCAGGTGCACCGCACCCACTGCCACTAACTCTGAGCCTGGCTCCCGAGCAGGACGTTCAATCTCCCCAGTAGTCCACCAGCAGATGAAAAACACCCACCTCTCCGCCTCTTCCAAGGGACGAGGGAACCGTGCGGCAAAGTTTCCGCCAGTCAACATGTCCGTTAAAGTTGAAATCTTCCGGACAAAATTTGAAAAGTGCCGGTCAAAGGTCTTCTTTGTTATTTATTGAGCTTTAAAACGATAACGACTCTATATAATAATATAATCATAATACACGGAGCCTCTCTTTTCCTCCACTTCTCCTGACAGCCCGTCAGTATCCGTCTCATGCAGCTGGCTGATCCAGTAATGAGTGACCCGACAGTAAGGCTGTCCCGAATACCATTTTTCGGGCTCCGGATATTCGGTAGTAATCAGTGCGGGGGGGGTGCGTAGTAATCAGCAGCGAACCGCTTCAACACGTGTATTTCGGTTTATTCACGGCATTCATTTTGTTATTCTACAGTAGTGTTGTTTTATAGTTATTTGTTAATGTATATAACCCAATTTGTGTTCTTTGAAATTGAAAAGGATATTGCATTGTGTTTGTTACTTTCGTTGCAGTTGTATATGTCTTAAGTGTAATTTGGCTTGGCTTCCTATTTTGTATGGACATGCTTTTATTTTGAAGGAGGGTTAGCGCTGTTGACAGGAAGTTGTTGTTGCTATGGAAACAACGTGACGGAGATTAACGGAGAAAAAGTCATATCTACATATAAAGACGGAGAAAGTAAACGATAACGTTTATGGTTAAGTGTTAACACCCCCCAAAGAGGCACAAGCTCTTACGTTGATATTGGAGATTTCAATAAATTCAATTTGGCAGCTGCAGTGCAGCGCGGCTGCCAAAAAACCCAGAAAAAAACTGAATATCCGAATAACGAAATTGAAACCCGAATAGTACTCCAACGAACGAATATTCGGATATTCGGGTACAGCCCTACCCAACAGTAAGAATAAACATATATATAACTAGTTTAGGTAGTTTGAGAGGTAATTAACATAGCTAAGTGTGATGATCTAACTTGAAGTGTGTGTTTTGCTCCGCTCACCGCTCCATCACATCGGGCGGAGCTGCAGGTGATCTCTGATCTCTCTCTCCTGTCCGATTAGACTTCACTTGCGTTTATGTCCATATTGATCAAATCTAGCTAGTTCTAGCTAATGATATGACTGCCTGCGTGTCAAAGGACACCTAAACAATAAGCGAGAGGTAGGGAGAGGCGGTGCTATGGCGTATCGGGCGTACACACGGAGCCGTTTGGCCCCCCAGAGCGTTCCGTCCGCAGATCTACCCACCTTGGGACCCGTTATCGTTTGAGGGCTCCGTTTCCGCGGCTCCGTTACGGCCTCGTGTGAACGAACCGTCCATACGATAGAGAACTGTAGCGGATAACACCCGTTCCGTCTCCGTGTAAACGGGGCCTTAAACCATCAATAAAAACAATTGGACTGCAATTGTATGCTCAATGCAAAGGAGCATTGGTGCTAAGTGAATATATAACAATGCGATCACACACATCTTAATTTGCAATTGCCAAATCTGGCTGTAAGATTGTGAGAACGAACTGTGTAAAAGGCAAGGCAAGGCAAGTTTATTTATATAGCACCTTTCAACACAAGGCAATTCAAAGTGCTTTACAAAAATGGAAGACATTAAGAAAATGGCATTTAAAATCAGTCATTAAAAAGAAAAGATAATAAAATAAACATTAAAAGAAAAAAAATACATGGATAAAAGTTACAGTGCAGTTTAAGATGTGAATAGTTCAATTAAAAGCAGCGGCAAAAAGAAAAGTCTTCAGCCTGGATTTAAAAGTAGTAAGAGTTGCAGCGGACCTGCAGGTTTCTGGGAGTTTGTTCCAGATATTTGGAGCATAATAACTGAACGCTGCTTCTCCATGTTTAGTTCTGACTCTGGGGACAGAAAGCTGACCAGTCCCTGAAGACCTGAGAGTTCTGGATGGTTCATAATTTAGCAGGAGGTCAGAAATGTATTTTGAAAAGGTTCATTTTGAATTTGAGAGCACATCTTATCAGCTAAGGATAGTTTTCTGTTCAAAATCTTGAGAATGAAATTAAATGTAGATTATCATTAGTAGTTTATGAGGCCTTAGCCATAAAGCACAGGGGGAAGCACTGAATTATTTAAAGAAACCTGTAGAACCTGGAAAATCAGCCTTCAATCCCTAATTTACAATGGAGCTCCTTTTACTCCGCTATCTCGACTTAATATCCATTTTCTTTTTTTTGGCAACAATGTAAGGCTTTTGCTTTGCAACACCAACCCAGAAGCTGCTAATCCTGCGGCGTGACATTTGTGGAAATTATGCAGCGTGTCTGGTGATAAGTTCCAACTGTTCTTCATAAAATGTCACAAGAGTTCCAGGCTCCAAAGTTTTACTTTTTCTTTTTTTTACAGTTTAGTCCTTAGAGAAGTTCTCCATCTGTATCGTGCATTGGGACATGTGGGGGATTAAAAAAAAGTATTTGTAATACTGCAGCTCAGCAGATGAGGGCAGAGTTTGTTGGCTCTAGGTCGATTGATTTCAATGATATTACAAATGAGGATAAAGTGAATTAAGCGGAGGCCAGAAGAAAATTGAAGTTGTAGGTCTATTCAAAAGAAAAATATTTCCATAAAAGAAGAAAAGTTTTTCCATGAAATCATCCCCAATGACATTTGTCTAAGGCTTCCCATTGCCTCTTGTCAACGTTGGAAATTGGAGCTGAGAGAAGATGCAACCTCCCTGGGTGAAGGGAATATAATTTTTTTCTCACATACAATATGTACTGCAGCAAATGCCTAGAGCCAATCTTCACTGAATCACAGTGTGTTGGCTTCTCAAAAGATGCCTGCTGTGACTTGTTGGTATGCCAAAAAAGTAATCGCAAAGCAACAAGGAGAGGTACACGTTTTGGGAGAGGGCAAGTTGGTTGTTCATTCCGCAAGAGAACAAAACTTCAAGACATTGACCGATTTGTGTGGGAAGAGTGTTCAAGATGGGAAGACAGCAGAAGACAAGTGTGGCCTGTTTTCTCCCTTCTGTGTCATTCTCGATTGTTTCCAGGGTGAGCTGAGGTGAAATGCTAGAGGGGAAGGATTTGGCCATGTGTTCTGACTAATGTAGCCAACGCAAAATACATAATACTAAGCTTGTAACTGCTTATTTGGAGGTTTTTCTTGTCAAAGGGTTGTACATCCAATTGTATTTCCCAGTATTTTGTATCTCTAAATAGCCATTTTTAGGGCTTAAAGTCCAAAATATTACAATCATTCCCTTTTTCCAGAATGTTCTCCTTCACAGCGACTCTCAACCATCACTGGCAGATAGAATCTAATCCCAAGAGATATTAAATATTACTTTCTAGTAGTAGTTTGAAAGGATAGTCCAAAGAGCTTGAAGTGCTTTTGTTTGAGGTGCTTATGGATAGTTAGTTTATTACTTCAAGTAGATTGCGGTCGGCATGTTGCATGGCATAGGACAAAAGCAATGTACCTCTATGGACAGAGGAAGTGCTGAAACATTTTAAGCGTCTAAAAGAAAGACTCGACCAAAAAAATCAATAACAGTTTAAGTTTTCACTCTTATACAACAGCGCTTTGCGATGGGGAAATTAAGCTATTATTTCTGCTCTTTTAAAGGCCACCAGACTCCTTTGACAAAAAACTGTAATTCTACCTCTCGGAAAACAGGGGTTGCTGGTCCACTGCTGCATCGATCGGTTAGATTGTGTGTGTTATTATGTTTCATCTGCATTTTGAAGGGTTAGTCCAGTGGCGAGCCGTCAGGGCCCTCTAGGCCCTCTCTGAGGGCCTAAGATATTCTACAAAATCATATTTAAAAACATTAAAAATATATTTATCTTTTTAAAATATTTTTTTAGTTTCATTAGTTTTATCAAAATAACTTGATTTAAATGTATTTAAAATAACATTTCCAAATAAATCCTTCTGCCTATTCAGTTTCTGTTTGAATGTGAAGGGTTAAATGAAAGAAGCTCGTCTCTGCGAGTTACTGTGAAGAGAGGAGCTGATTGGTGGTCCTGCTGTAAATTCACAGAGGGCCCGCTATAGTAACTGAACGAGAGAGTAATGTAAAATGACAGTACAAAGTCACGGCTCGCCACTGGGTTAGTCTGAATTCACACAATAACACATGCAAACTTACGAAGCAGGTATAGGTAGAATGAATCAGAAGGCATATTTCACTACTTTACCAAAAAAACATATTACTGATAAATAAATCAAATGCCAAGAGTCATATCGAGGAATCTGATCCGAAGTGTGTTTTGCATCAGTTTAAGTCCTATTTTTCACAGTCAACATAGTTATGCTAAACCAATTTCTCAGCCTGAACTGTGTGTCCACGTGCATGCATGCATGATTGGATTTGTGTGCTGCTATATTGATGTCATGTCAGGGCATCTTGTTTGAGTATGCAGTCTTCTTATGCATAGGGAAACTACCAGATAGCCAGGAA